TGTGAGATTAAACATCAGATTAAAGCGAACATGAAACACTACATTTATAAAGGCTGGTTTACACTGTGGAGCTCTGCTCTAAACTGTCATCCTGAACTCAGATTTCCCACCTGAAAAGTCAGATCAGCCCCACCAACTGGGACTTAACAATCCAAGATGGCGGAAGTGAATGTAAACAGCAGTAAAAATGTAAAACTGCCACTGCTGTGATTTCACAGATGAATCTTATAATCATACTCACAGCACTGAACAGGGTGCAATGGTTGCATCCTGCTAAGAATCAAAATGAACCCTATTTCTCCGGTTTTCCCAAATTTCCTACTGGAATGCAATATTGCTGTACTGACTTCATTCCTTAATTCCAACATCCAACTTCTGAGGTAACTGGAAAACGGCTTTAGTATATGTGAACTAACGAGTGACAGAACTGTTTTACAAGAATAGTTACAAATATAACTATTTTTCTTACCAATGCACATTTGGAAATCCTAACATCCATCAGCATGTCCACAGAGGAAGAAATCTCCACGTTACGCTCTCCTTCACTTATATTAGGGTTTTGATTGAAGTAATGCACTGACAGCATCATCTCACTCCAAAGAGTGCAGCAACTTTCCCTCTGACGTTCCTGTTCTACACATCACTCTGTTCCCCCTGCAGGATCTCAGGATTCCTGATCTGTGCTTCGATAAGAAACCCGTTGTGTTTGAGATGGGCATGTAGTAACTTATGCTGTAAACTGGTTGGGTGTGTTTGAGGAAAGCAAGACTGTTTTACTGCATAAAATAATGCTGATCACATCCTCTGAACATCTGCTCTGCCAGCTGATTGTGTGCCGTGTGTCTACATCCAACCAAAGGAGGAAAAATCAAAGACAAAGGGGACAGTGTCAGACTTAAGCTTCTCGTCCTTGTCCACCTGACTCCAACAAGCTCTGCTCATTTATAAAGTGCTCTACAAACCCTAACAATACGGCTAACAGGTGGATTCCCATATTTCAGTGCAGCTAGCCAATAATGAACGACCACTTAGTGCTGAAGAGACAGAGAGTGAAAGGGGACGATGTATCCTTGGTACTTTAACATAAAACTGACTGCAGTTGTCACTAGTTAGCAACATAAACTAGTGTAAGTCTATTAGCACCAACCAACCAACCACATAACATCACTTTCCATACTGGCACAAGATGGCACTAAAAACCTTAACTTTAGACACATATTATTGAATCCAGCTTCATAGCATTTTTTAAGAGTAGGACTCGATGCTGTAAATCAGCCTTTACACATGTAGCACTTCCTGTCCGCTTTAAATGTGTTCACAGTAACAATGCAGGGTACACGAAGAACAAAGCGGAGTCGTGAACACAAATGTGTTCTTCTTCTGATGGAAATGACTTCAAAATATTACATGATTCATTCATTTCAAGTCTCTAGACAAATTAAAACAAGTAAAACTCGTTTTATTGTTGTGTGGTTTGGAGCCTCCCCCCGGTGAACGTCCATTGTACGTCTGCACTTCTTGACATTCTTAAACATTTTCAGTTTCTGTTTGGATCTTTCAGATCGTCTGACCTGTCCTTACTTGATGTTTAGCCGTTTGTCATTGGCGTCTCCTCTGACAGATTTCAAAAAGAAGACAAAGAAGAAAAACGTTACACACAGCTGTTAAAAACCTGAAGGCCTTATAAATATGGCTGATTCAGGTGCCCCGCAACTCTCAGCTCTGTATCATGTGACTAAACCATACATTTGTGAGAGGAGGACGATAAGATGAAAGGTGGCTCACATGGAGCAGAAGAGGAAGTGAGAAAGGAAATGAACTGAGGGACAGTATATGATGAATAAGTATTTTTAAAGCTGTGAGTCAGTCGAAGCAACTTTCACAGAGTCCAGGATCAAACCACAGAGCTGGAGCTTAACACGTCCTTTATAAACTCTACACCCAGAGTGATTTACTGCTGTTTAAGTAGTTTGAGACAGTTTTACCTTCAGTTTTTTCATCGTTTCGTTGTTGAGCAGTGGTGCCGTTAGCCGCAGGAGCTCCTGTTATTTTAATGACAGAAATACACACATCAGCTTTTTAATCCCACACAAAGCCCCACTGAACATAAAAATACAATTTTGGGCTGAAACTTACTCTGATGTTCATCACTCCTCCAGAAATCTGAAGTGGATGAAAAACCCCCAAAAACAAAACATAAAGAACAATGAGATTAACGAGAAACAGCACACAGAAGAACCACAGGTATTTCTGAGTTCTACTTTCTAATAGACAGTGATTTTAAAAAAAGGACTATAATTGATTTGTTACTGACCTCCTTCCCACGGCATGGACTCTGCAGAGAGAATTACAGCAAAGGACAGTTAAAGACACCAGTTTTTGTTTGATTGTTCGTAGTCATCACTGAGCTGCCAACACTTTGATATTTCTATCATAAAAAAGGACAATATTTTCTTTATGATGCTATTATTATTTCATTGCCTGATCAGAGAATCTGATTTTGAACTAAAAATACATCCACGTTCACTAAAACGCTGCAGCATTTCATGAAGCCAGTCAGTTCTGTTAAAGCTTCAGCTATGATGGTTTCAACATCAGAGCTGAAACTGAAGAGAAACGCTCCTTCAGTCACATTCTGAGATCATTTATATACAACACAAACTGTCTGCACGTCTCTCCATGTTGTTCTTGTTACCAAGATGCACCACGGGCACGTGGTTTGTAAAACTAACGCTCCAGTCTAAAGATGAATCACGTGTGATGTATTCTTAAACTGACCGAAAATATCAGATAGTATTGACGACTAATTCACCATTTTAAAATAGAGAGTAACTGACAAAGCAAATCATACAAATAAAATTCAGCAAATTAAAACTAAATGTTTACTTTTCAGCTTCAGATTTGTTTAGGAAGCACTTTGTTTTAGACTTCTTACCTTTTTCAAAAAACCACATTCCTGGAAGAAATCAAAAGAAAATTACAACATTAGATTAGCGATCCACCATTATCAATCAGACATGAAACTCAAATACAACCTCAAATAGACTTAAATGAAAAACCCTTATTCTGAAAGATCTGGGACAAACCCTACACTCACTAGCGACTTCGTTTGTTACTCGCTAATATCGGGTTGAATCCCCTTTTGCCAAATGCACTAATTAATCAATCACCAGCAAATGTGAGCCCCTCTTTAAAATCAGAGGTTTTGACGGTGTGTCAGTCTGGAGCATTCAGGTGTCTTCCACCTGAACAAATTCACTCCAGTCAGACGTGAAATTCCAAAAAACCCAAGAACTACATCTCAGACTCTACTGGTCTCAATTAGCAGGATGAATGTTGAAATTCATGACAGTACAATTAGCAAAACACTGAACACGTGTGTTGTTTGTAGGGCTGCCACAAACAATTATTTTGATAGTCGACTAGTCACCGATTATTTTTGCGATTAGTCGACTAATCAGATCATCATCCATTGGACGTAAAACGTACAGATTATTGCACCAGCAGCATCTGCTCTTATATAACTATCACAATCAGCTGTCTGCTTGATGTTTATTCAGCTGTGTAAAAACTATAACTTTAATCTCAGCCAAACCGATTTACTCAGGAACAAATAAAATACT